TGCGCAGGGCAGCGCATGCAGTGGGGACAGCATGGGGCGAGATGGTGTAGCAGCGAGCCCAGGGCCCCACACTGGCACTGCCAACACACCGAGAGCATCTCTTACCTGACACCGAGTGACTTGGGAAGCAGGTTGTGGAAAGACAGAGAGAGAGAGAGAGAGAGAGGATTTACCAAGGGAATGGCAAGGGGACAGTGGGCCTGTCCCTTCCACGCTGCTGGGCGAGGTGCACCGCCAACCCCCTGCCCAGACCTGGTATGCTGCCCGCGGAGACAGGACTGACGTGGGGCCCTTGTTTTTGCCAGGCACCCGTGAAGCAGCAGAGGTTCTCTGGGGGCACCCACAGCCTGGGCTCTGCATTGCCCACCCCACCGAGGCTCCCTCTCCAGCCCAGGCTGGCCGTTCCCTTGCACTGGCCAAGCTCCCCAGAGACCCTGGGGGCTGAGCCCACTGCCCAGGAGCATCCTGCCATGCACCGTACACACGTGACATCAGCCCTTTGTGACGTCAGCTGATGATGGCATGGGTACGGGAGCCACACACCAGCTACACACGGGGTGATGGAGAGCTTTGTCCTGCCCACCGTTTCCATCGGGGCCATGCCCCATGGCACCAGGACAAGAAGCCCGGAGGCCCCATGCCCCTGGGGCCCTGCCAGCCTGCCTAGTGAGCCTGCTGCCACCTAGGCAGGCAGGGGGTGCAGGCAGCCGGCACCGCCTGCGGGGAGGGGTCCCCCTTGCACCCCCTGGGCACAGCTGTGGCACTGCTCAGCCTCCCGCGGCACAGCGAGGGCCTGTGGGCAGACAGGCTGTGGAGAGGTTTAGCTGGGCGTATCCTCCTGTGCGGGTGGGAAAAGGGGACCGGGAACTGCCATGGCAGTGGGTGCTTTCTGGGGACCTGGGGGGTCCTGCAGTCACACCCCATGTCTGAGCTACACCGGTTTCTCCCCCATGTCTTCCCAGCAGGACTCCTCACAGCTGTGGGTGCTGCCCCTGGGAGCTCCAGTTTGAGCCCCCCATTGCTGCCCCCATGCCAGTCCAGCTCTCCGTGGGACAGCTCTAGTGGGCCGCTGGGTGAGCATTCAGAGAGGAAGGGTCCCCAGCATTGCTCCCAACCCCGTGGCGGGCTGGGCTCTTGCAGGGACCCCGACTCACTGCAGACCCTTTCCTCCACAGCCTGCGGCCCCGCAGCCCCGCCGGACAGTGAGCTCCCTGCCCACACCTGCACCATCTACCGGCCCTGGTTCTCGCCCTACAGCTACTTTGTGTGCACCAAAGAAGCCACCCAGCAGCACCTGGGCAGCCTCTCCACCAGCCTGACCACCAGCACCCGGGAACCTGAGGAGTCTGATGACCTCTCGGAGATTATCTGCTCCTCCTCTGGCTCCTCAGACAAGCCCCAGCCCCCCGAGAGGGACAGGCCAGGCAGTGGCGGAGCCAGCATCACGGTCCAGGATATCCTTGCTGCTTCCCAGGGGCAGCCGGTGCCCCAGCGCGGCTACCAGTGCATGTCGTGCTGCCGCGTCTTCCCCACACTGTGGTCGCTCAAGACCCACATCCAGCACAGCTCCCAGGAGGGCTACAGCTGCAAGGTGTACTACCGCAGGCTCAAGGCCCTGTGGGAGAAGGAGCACAAGGAGCAGGAGGCTGCAGCCCCCAGGGAGCCCGTGTAGCCCCACCAGCCTGGCAGCCACCGCGGGAGGGCACTGCTTCATCGCTCCTGCCAGCAGCAGAATAAATTGGTTTAGGAGCAGCCAGCCCTGTCTGCCTGCTGCTCTTGCCTACACAACACTTCCGCCATCCTTTAAGAGAGGCTCTTCCTGACTTTTCCTTCCCCAGCAGCCAAAAAATCTCCCAAGCCCCTGAAAACACTGCTTAGCATCTCTGCATCTCCATGGGGAGATCTGCAGGTGCTGGGAACGACCCCCCAGCATCCTTGAGCTGTCAGGTCACTCCTGAGACGAGCCTGCACTGTGCAGTGGCTGAAGGGGAAGGCTGAAACCCCTCTACCCCCAGCAACATTTGGGGCACCTCACTCCCACGGGCGGCCTGCAGCTGGCACCACAAGGGTCCCACAGAGGAGGATGCTCAGGTTGGAGGGGGTCTGTGCAAGGCCAGGGGATGCCACCATCAGTGCTGGCTCCCAGCGTGGAGGGGGAGAGAAGTGTAGAGAGAGTCAGCGAGAAGGAAGAGACAACAGAAAGCCTTGAGAAATAGAAAGATTTATTTAGCAAAAGCCAGTCGACTAATGACAACACCCAAGGGTTAAGTGCACTTACATTGACAGATTGGTTTCCCAGATAGATCGAGTCAACAGTTAGTAACACGACAATTGTAGGAAAAGAAAGGACAAAAAATAGAGCTATAAATCCCCAGTCAAGGTCCATAACAAAAGTGAGAGGCTAGAGAGGCGTCTTGGAGGCAGCGCTGAGTTAGGAGGAGGATCATTTACACATGTACACCTATGGTGAGACAGGATGCTGGCGGGTCCCATCTCAGCCCATGGGGCACCCGCCACCGTCCCTGTGCGTAGAGTGCCGGGCAGGAGCCCGAGCCCATGGCTGGTCCCGACAGCTCCTTGCGGGGCACGGCCTGGGCTGCGCGTGTGCAGCAGGGACAGGAGGAGCGGTGGCCTGGGGAGAAGGCTCAGCCCTGCTTGCTTTCTGAGGCAGCCCAGCCTGGAAGAGACCTCCTGCCTGCTGTGGCTCCTCCCAGGCTCTCCCTTCATCTGCCCTGCGCGTATGGTGAGCTCCTGCCATCCCCTCTCCTGCACAATCTGTCTGCCCACATGAAAATCCCTCTCTGAGCTCACCCATGCATCCCTACCCTGCCTGGCCCATGTCCTGTGCGTGCTGCCATCCCCACCTCTCCTTCCTGGCGGGACCAGCCTCCCACCCCATGCTGTCACCTCCAACCGCTGCGAGCTGGCCGTGGGATGTCGGGGTCCCCGGCAGAGGGGCTGGCACACAGCTGCCCACGGCGGTGTGGGACAAGGCATATGGAAGTACTGGTGGCCCAGGAGCGCCCAGGTCCCAACCAGCACCCACTCCCACTCTGCCCCCTCTGTGGGTGGTGCAGGGGCTCCTCTGGACACCAGGCCACTGCTGGGGATGCTGAAACATGGCCTTCCTTCCCACTAGGACTCTCTAGCTCCTCACAGCATCCAGCCTCCTCCTGTGGTGGAGGGTGCATAGCACAGCTCGTGCCGACCCCGGGGGTCTCACCCACACCTCACTACTCAGCAGTCCTCAGTCCCAAGGGGACCAGGGCAGAATGAAGTGATGGACCTTCCTCAGCAGCTGGGCTAAGCCCTGGAGGAGAGCAAGAGCTCGTGCCTGGGAAATGCTCAGCTAGGGGTTAGGTGCAGGCAGATCTAGCAGAGACAGAGCTGGTGAAGGCAAGAGCAGAGGGAAGCAACAAAGCGAAGCAGAAGCAGGATAGGAGGGTGGATGGGGAGCAAGACAACTGTGCCAACCCCCACCTCATCGAGTGTTTCCACAAGGAGCAGGGGGGGACATCAGGATGCTGGCTCACACCCCTTCAGCCATGGCCTCTTAGAGGCTGCAGCAACAGGCAGCTGATAAATGTGCTTGCAGAAAAGAGACAAGCTCTGGATCCCCTGGAGGCTCCCACAGATGCCTCAGCCATGGGCATCTCAGGGTCTGCTGAGGGATCTTGGATTCACTTTGCTGGAGGGTGCAAACCAGAGACACAAAGGTGCCCACCTGCAGACACCAGCAGTTCACTCCCCATCAAGGGGCGGCAAGAGTGCCCATCCCTGCACACAGCCGATGCTAGCCCTGCATCCCCCAGCAGTCTTGGGGCAAGCAACTGCTTGGAAATGGGAGGTTTTGTCTATAAAGCAAAGCAGGGAGTTTGTGGTGATGGTGGGTGCAGGGAAGTGCTTGAATATGCAACTTGAGAGCACCAGAAAGGCTTTGAAACCTGGCAGCCATGCCGAGGAGCCCAAGGGCTGGGCAACAAGGGAAGGACACCCCACAGCTCTGTGCTGCGTGCCCTGGCTCCCTGCTCCTCGCTGGGCTGTGCCTTCCTCTCCGCTCCACAGCCTGGGAGAGGAGCAGGCAGTGACTGCACACCCTCCAGCTGCCTCAGGCAGGGACAAACCCTGCCCTGGAAGTGCCACAAACACCCCAGCACTCTGCCAGAAGCTGCCTGCACCCAGCCACCCTGCGCAACCTCGTCTCACCCCTTCAGCTCCTTCCCAGGCTCATCCCCACTGTCCTTCGCTGCCTCACCTCTCACTTGCGCACCCACCCCGACAGTGCACTGTCACCAACCCTAATCACCCTGCTAGCATGGCCCTGGCCTCATCTCCCACCCTCTCCACCATGCAGAGAGCCAGACCCCCTGCCAGCAGCTCTGTCCCTGCTCACCACCCCATGCTGGCTCCTCAGTCGCTCTTGTCCCCACTCACTGCCCCATGCCTGCTCTCTTACTCCCCAAGCAAAAATCTTCATCTGCTTTACTGCTCCCCCCTGCAGCAGCACCAGCAGCAGTAGCTAATCCAGCAGAGAGTCCCTTGCCTCTGCCTGACCTCAACACGCAGCTTGCAGGAGGACGGGGACCGGGGCGTTAGCACAAGCAGCTGTCAGCTCGCCATCCGATGCGAAGTGGGGATGCTCCAGCTCAGCACACAAGCCCATGCATGCTGGAGCGCAGCATGCCCAGCGCACCCCCTCGGCATGGCTCTGTCCTCACCTCCACACACCTCCCGGCCGTGTGCTGGAAGCCTCGCGCTCCCTCCTCCGCCCCCTCTCTCTCTGGGCTGTCCCGTCCCTGCCAGGGCCAGGGGGCTACGGCCAGGGCCCGCCCCAGCTCCGGCGGGTCCCGGCTGCTCTGCACCACCTCCTGCCGACCCCTACACCGCGATCTCGTCCTCCAGGCTGTCGCCCAGGTCCTGCCTGGGCTGGACATGGAGCAGGCGTGGCGGTTCCTCCTGGGACCAGGAGTCGCGCTCCTCGCTCTCGTCCGTGTTGGACTCATACTCGGAGGCGATGCCTGACTCGCGGAACTTGATGAGCTCCAGGCTGCCCAGTGCCGGCTCTGGGGCGGGCGGCCCCGAGCTCGGCAGAAAGTGGTAGCACTCCAGCTTCACCAGACAGTCGTTCCTACCTATGGGGCTGCCCAGGGTGCTGGGGAAGCCCGAGCTGGGACCCAGTGGCGGCGGGTGGGTGTCCTCGGGCTGCGGGGTGGTCGGGTCGCAGAGGACAGGGAGGACGTTGGAGCGGAAGGTGATCTCCAGCAGACTGTCCTGGGAGCCTGCTGCAAGAGAAGGGCACGGCTGAGATGCAGACAGTGCCACCCTGGCTTGCCTGGGCATCCCCTGGCCACCACGGCTGGCTGCAGACTGGCCAGAGGAAGATGGTCTGGGGCCATTTGGGTGTCAACCTCCCCACCACCACCATATAGAGGGGGTCACTTGGTGCCAGGAACTGCTGCTGGCCAGTAAAGTGCCAGTTTTGCAGGATAAAAAGTTATCTGTCTCCCACCCCAGCTCCTTTGGGGAGCTGATGGCCATGTCTGCTGGAGAGGAAGGTCAAGGAGGGGCTCTTGGGCAGGTAAGGAGCTGGCCTAGACCATGCAGCCACTGGAGAAAGCAGACACACAGCTGATGGATGTACGTGACTGCCTGTCCACACAGCCCTCCCCATGCCCCCTCCCACACTGCATGCAAGCATCCTGCCGCACACGCACAAGCCAGGCCAGAAGGGCACTAATATCCCCCTGCGCAAAACCACTGGAAATGCACAAAAACCCCACGAGAAACACCCACACACATGTCCTCCACAGACCCGGCTAGCTGCAAGGGGAGAGGAAGAGGCAGGAGCGCTTACTGGTGGTGTTCCCCGCCAGCTTCAGCTCCAGCTCCTGCACCTGTTTGACCAGGAGCGAGATGTGCTGCAGCAAGTCTTTGTTCTGGAGCAGGAGCTGGTGCACGCGAGCCTGGGCCTCCAGCCGCGCCGCTGCCTCCGCGGCCAGCTGGTCCTTCAGCAAGTGAACCTGTGTGACAGGAGAGACTGGGTGAGCGTGTGGGAGATGCTGCTCAAGGGCTGAGAGCTTCGACTCCAGTTATCCCTGCTCCTCTACCAGGGCGCACCAGCATCCCATCAAACGATTTCATGAAGAAGCCATTCCCTGCGGGTACCCGCAGATGTGACGAGGAGAGCAGGGGCAGGCAGCAGTGTCACACCAGGGCATTCTCAGCAAATCCAGCGCATGGTCCCCTGGTCTCTCTGATGGAAAAGCCTGAAGCAAAGGGAGGTGGTGCTGACCGAACCGTCAGTTATGCACGAGTGCCACAAATGCATGAGGAAAGGGCAGACCAGGAGGAAGCCATATGGATGTGGAAGAGAAGACACACTCGACCAACTGGATGGTGCTTGTGGGTGCATGAAGGTGCAGCCAGGCGCTGTGAGCCGGCCCTGGCCGAGCTGTCTTTCTGGGCAGGTTTCCCGGACACGGTGTTTTGCACGAGGCAGGGTCCTGCCAGCGGCATCTGTCACTAGCAGGGGTCGGAGCATCAGAACCACCCCAGAGCTGCAGACACAGGGCTCCGGCTGCGACATGCATGACGCCTGGAGCAACACAGATGGCAGAGCGCTGCTGAGACATGGTGGCTCTGGGGACACGAACTGGCTGCTCATTCTGGCCCTGGGCGGCAATGCCTGGACACTAGCCAGTGGAGTCCACAGGCAAGAAGTCCATTGATTTTGGCATAACTACCCATACGCAAGCATCTGTATCACCAGCACGGTGTCCCAGGGAGGGTGGGATGCTGCTGGGCGAGACCAGCCAGAAGCCCTTGCCCAGGGGCAGCAGGGACAGCTCTCTGCTCTGAGTTCAAGCAAGGAGAGCCCCAGGAGCATACTCTGGATAAGGGGACAGCAGTGCAGAGCCAGCCGGGAGCCACACCGGCTCAGCATCCTCTCCTGCCACCCACCCATGGCTCCTACAAGCACTCCTCTCTCCAGCAAGGACTGAGCCAGCCAGGCTCATGGGGAACCAGGAAAGCATGGATTTAATGGGAAAAAAAAAAAAAAAACCAACCCAAACCCAAAAAAATAAACAAGAACCCCCCCCCACAAAAAAACCCAAAACAAAAATGAACAACAAAAAAGGCAGTTTTACCTTGGCCTAGAAAGTGACCTTGGGGAAGAGAGGGGGAGCTCCCGGTAGCCTGCCAAACCCATGAGCTGCTGCTGCGGCTGCAGGGCCCCAAAAGCAGCACAGCTGGGAGCCACCTGCCCTCCTGGATGGGCACCAGGAGGCAGCACCGGGTCTGCTGGCAGGCAGGTGCTGCCTGCTTTGTCCTGCGCTGCCTGACTGCAGCCAGCAAGGTGGCAGGGCAGTGCCCTTGGCGGGGCAGAGGTGAAGCGCAGGGAGCTCGGTGGGTGGCAGGAGGCCAGGCAAGGGACTGGGACTTGCTTTGCCACTGCCAGGGAAGCCAGAGAGCCACAGTCATGTCCTCCAACTCCTCCTGCCAGCGGTGGGACAGTGGGGCACAGCAGCGCGGTGGGACAGGGGCCCTCTGCTGAATGATGGTGGGTGAAGCGGAGACCCCGAGCCGAGCTAGCAGAGGTGGAATCACAATTAAACACTAAGTGGGTGCCAAAGCTTGGTGCTGGCAGCATCAGCCTGGAAGTCATCCTTCCTCGCACCTGGAGAGCTGTCTTCATCACAGGCGCCTGCAGCAGGGCCCAGGTGATGCTCAGGTGATGCCGGGAGAAGATGCAAGCAGAGCCCAAAGGTTACATCTTGCAGAGGGGCAGTGGCTCGTGCCACCAGCCCCCTGGGGACAACACCCAGGAAGGACTCCTGGCCTTAATTCAAGAGAAGGAACTTTCACAGGTATCTGGAAAAGCCTTGCAAAAGCAAGTCTCTGGTCAACAAGGGAACTAAATGTCATTTCATCCTCAGCCAAGTAATTAGAGGCCGAGATAATTACAGGATGGTCCCTGTAGCTATAGACCAAGCACAGATCCTGGTCAACACAGCGGATCTCCAGGGTTTGTTAGTGAAGAATTAAGCCTCTGCCTATCGCCATGTGTTCAGAGGCAAACTGATTTGGTACTTTTTGAGAGAAGATAACAACTACCACTGACAGAAGTGTTGATCTAATGCTTTCAGTCACCTGAAAGGCATTTGACATGATAGGGCCCAACTTTTTCATTAATAAAGTACAATGATATCAAACCACCACGGTGCATGCTGAAGGAATTACAGCACAGCTAAGTGACAGCTCCTGGGACAAGAACCATCCTGTGGTGGGCAGAGGTCCACGGCAGGGCATCCTTGGAGAGAGGGGGATGAGGCTACCAGCTGCCACCCCACGAGACAGCCAAGAAATTACACTATTTCAGATTTTTTTTTAATCTGGAAGTAGGAAGAAAAAGAAATTGCCACTGAGAGACTCTGCAGGTACACAAAGACAGGGAACTACCAAAGGAGAGCAGTCCCTGCCACAGAGGGACCTGGCTTTGCCTGTAGCAACACTATACTTGGGCAGACATACAGGATCCCCTGAGGACACAGGTCTCTCTTCCAGAGGGGAAAGCAACTTCCTGAGCCCGTGACCCCAGAAGGCATGCAGGCTCTTGGGGCAGCAGCACGGCCAGAAGGACCAATACCGATTTTCTGATGGATGAAGAGGAAAACGATGGGAAAAAAACAGGAAGGCTGCTGGAGTTGACCACTCAGGCCAGGAAGAAAGTTGAACATTTGCAGAGAGCTCTGCGAAGGGTCAGGGAACAACTAAAGCTAAGGTAATGAGTTGGATAAAGTGGCCAGAGCTGCTTAAATGAGAAATACCTGCATGGACAACAAGTCGGCAGGGGCTAACACTGAGGCCAGGCATTTGCAAGAACACAGGGGCCGAGCGACCAAGAAAGCCGGTGGCATGCAGACTGAACGCTAATCCATCCGGGCTTAACGAAGCCATTGCTGGGAGCAAGGGCACAGCGACCCATGCTGGGACAGTGAGACAGAGCAGGCTGTGCCACAGAAGGTAGGGGACACTGCCCGGCCCGCTCCCATGCCCTGGTGTTGGGGTCCATCCCGGCTCAGGTCAGGTCCCCACCCACACCTGCCCCGCTCCAGGCAGGGGATGCTCTGGCACCGAGGAGCTCAGGAGCACACCCCAGCCCTACCACTACCCCCAGAAAAGAGCGGAGGGGAGAACCTGTGCCACAGCCACTTGCGTCTGCTGCTGCTGCTGCTGCAGGAGCTGCTGGAGAAGCTGCATTTGGTGGTGGGCAGAGAGGGGCGTTCCCAGGTCAGGCAGCTGGGCAGACGAGGGCAGCAGCATCTTGGGCGACGCTGTCAGGATATCTTCAGGGTGGAGGCAGCCCTGCAAAACACCGGCGTCGAAAGTGTGATCTCATGCTCCTTGCCATGGAGAGCCGCCAGGCACACATGGGCTGTGGCACACAGCAGCCCCCCAAAAGACCCAAGAAAGAACCTGCTGCATTCAAAGCAAATGCACACTTTTCTGGGGGTGCTGAAAAACTTTGAAGACAGCATTTTTTTCAGTTTTGACAAAAGTCCAACTTTTTTTTGTAGAAAATGGCTCAAAAAGGCTGATGCTTCCCATGGGAATTTCCACTGTATCAAAAAAATTTTTTTTTTTTTTTTTTTTGGTGGAAAAGAAATCCCTATCAGCTCTGCCCCAGACACTTTCCATGTGGCTGCACATAGCTGAGCCTCGGCACGGAGCTCTCCAGGAGCACCCTGGGCCCTGAGCCAAAGGGCAGCCCTGCGGCGGCAGATGGCTTTGATCCAGGAGCTGGGAAATGCTGCACAATCCCTCCTGATCCCTGGGATGTGCATCAGAACCGCAGGACGGGGGCTGCACCATGCCCTGAGCGCAGAGGGCAGGGACCCACGCACCTTTGCGTCGGCATAGGCGCTCGCCTCCTTGCCCACGGCATCGAGATCGGTCACACCGCGGCTGAAGTCGAGGATGTCGGCTCCGGGCAGTGGCAGCTCCACAGCATCGATGTCCGTCTCCTCCGCTGAGGCGGCCGCCCTCTCCGCACCGGTGAGGCGGCAGGCTGCGGGAGCAGTGTCAGAGCACAGCACAGCCCGCTTGGAGCAGGAGCTTGCTACAATGCACCCATGGTATGCCCACCGCTCCCCACCGCCCCTGTGCCACCCACCCTCCAGCTCCAGAGGGGAAGCAGGTACAGAGCGACACGGCTGTGCTTCCTGCTGCTGCCCAGGATAGGGCTTGCGGCCAAAAACGCACTCAGCCCCAGCATGGCAAACCTGGGGAACAGCAGCCAAAACCCCTGATGTGGGAGAAACGGGCTGTCAAGAGCAGAAGACACAGAGAAAGCTAAAGAAAGGTAAACAAGAGATTATGGGGGGAAAAAACCCGGATGCTCAGAAATCCCCAGGGAACTGCATATCATGTCCGGGACATTGTGTGGAGGAAAGACAAACAATGACCAGTCCAGGACAGCCCAATGATTAGGTCATCACGACAGCGCTGGTTGCAGAGGCAGGCAGGAAACCGTGGCACAGCCCAGGCTGCTCCTGATGGGATGGGGGCAGATCTAGCACCCAGTGTGGGGCTGCAGGCCAGGTAGCCCACACAAGGACAGACAGCAGGACCCACCAGCATCCTGACGGGCACTGGAGGTGTTTGACCAACCTCTTGCAAAACATCTGTCTCCCCTCCAGCGCAGCTGCCGGCACCAAGGAGCACAGCAGCTCCCCGGGACCCTGCAGAACCTGGGGTGATGTGGTGGACCAGCAGCCCCGGTCCAGGAGCATCCCTGCACCCTCCACCCACAGGGCTGAGAAGGGAGGAGGGGTCCACGGGCTGCCTGTAGCCCTGGGAGCTTGATGCAAGATCCCAAACACGCAGGGAATTGCAGAGGTGGCAATGGACTGTGAGCTGGGTCCACGGCAGAGAGCTGGACCCAGCCCCACAGCAGAGAGCTGGACCCAGCCCCACAAGCACCTCAGGGTGCAGGGAAGGTCTGTGCTTAGGGCCTCTTCTGTGCAAGCAGAGAGGAAATGTTTGCAGCGTGTGCAGCTGAGCACGGAGAGCATTTAGGTGCCCAGCAGAGTCCCGGACGCTGCTAATGGGCTCCCAGCAAGGGGGATGTCTGCGAGGATGATGGCTAACACCTAGCGAAGGCTCCTTGCTGGGCAAGATCCCAGCTTGAGCCTGAGGCGCTGCAGGCCAGATTGCTGTGCAAATCCGTTCCCTGCAGGTGCCAGCCAGCAAGGAGCAGTGTGGGAAGACGGTGATTCCGCAGACTGCGTCTGCCAGGCTCCAGGACACCCACACCACCCCTGCCTCCACCCTCACAGAGTACCTGGGACGTCCAGGTCGTCACTGTTCCTCTCGCTGTCTCCGTCCTCCTGCCCGTCCGCGTTCTGCTGGGTGTGCTGCAGGCTCAGCTTGTGGCAGACCTCAAACGCCTGCCCCACAGTCCGGACAATGCGCATGGCTTGGCTCTGCAGCGGGCAAGGAGAGGAGGAGCGTAACCTCAGCTGCCCCTGCCTGGTGCCCTCCCCGGCCTGGCACAGCTCTCGAGGGTCTCTGTGCGCTGCCATGGGGGCTGAGCACAGCCACAGGCACCAGACCTTAGATCACCATGGTGCTCTGGGTGCTGACTGCAGCACCACGGGGTCCTGCCCCAGCTGCCCCACGGAGACCCCCGACGGCAAGATGAGTACCCCAACACCTTTACCTTCTTCTTGGATTTGAAGACGTTGCACCTGAAGACATTGCTAGACCCATCCCTGGCAATGTAGCTGAAGATCTTTAGGTCCTGGGAGTCGTGTGACACGTAGAATATCCTGCAAGGACAGAAAGGAGGGAAGGATATCAACATACATATCACCCACATGCCCAGGAGACTGCCAAGGCCGCAGCCAGTGCTTCCCAGGGTACAGGGTGCTGGCAGATGCCCAGCTTCTGCAGCACATCCCTGCTAAAGCCAATCAGAAATCTTTTTGGCAGTGGTTTTGCCTTGCCTGGGAAAATTAGCCTGCTGACTCAGCAGCAGCAAGCATTTTGCGAAGGCAGCATGGGGCTTTCTCTGCTCAGCCCCCAGGGACAGAGCCAGTGGCCCAGGAACCAGGCTCTCCAGGGACCTAGGAGAGCAAACCTCACTCCTCTTCCTTGCCTGTTTGGAAAGCTGGCCTCCTCGCTCAGGCACCTGCCCCAGCCAGCATGCCGTCCCCTCCCCGGCATAGCTGGGACTCTTCCTCACTCCCGTTCAGCCTCCCTGGGACACAGATGCCCCACGCTCTTAGCTCTTGCCAGTGAGATAGAGGAAAAGAGCTGGGGACTTTTGGAGAGCGCAGCAAGCGAGGGGAGCTGCCCTCCGTGGGGCCAGCAGTGGCTCTGCAGGGTCAGTCCCCAGCACGGTGCTGGTGTGGTGTCAGGTAAGTGGCACAGCAGAGCCATGCAAGCCCCTGTCCCTTCAGCAGGCAGGCTTACCTGTAGATGGGATCGTGCATGACGAGCATTTTGTTCTCGTCCCAGGCCCATTCTTTTTTCTGCAAGAAAAGAAGCTGAAAATGAGTACGTCAGATGCTGCCCTTGAGATCAAGAACAGGGCAGACACAGTCCAGGGACAGACTCGGGAAGCGTTTGTCACAGCTCTGCTGCTGCTCCCCTGCAACCATTTGCCGAGGGCTGGATCCTGCTGGGGCCAGCATTGTCCCACACCACCTCCCACAGGGTCCCCTGAGCCCCTTCTATGCCTGCGTCAGGACTCACTCGGCCACCCTGCAGGAACACAGCTCATCTGTGGCTGATCCCAGCCCGTCCCAGCCCACCAGAGTTTCCCAAAAATTCAAGGACCCTGCAGGTCCCTGCACCACAAGGGGAGGGCTCCAGCTGCCAAGGCACCGCTGCTGCAGGGACCGGGGCTGCCTACCTTCTTCTTCTTCTTCAGAATGACCTTCACACCATCCACCGACACGATGAGACTCACTTTCTTCTTCTTGATGTTCTTGGCTTTAAACTCATACTGTGAGGGACAGAAGAAAACACCTGAATTAGCTTTCCTGTGCCAGGAAAGCCCCAGGGAGGGCTGAAGAGGCTCCGATGGGAAGGGGCGAGAGGGGCAAGGAAAGATTTCCATGACCCAGCGTGCCTCCCCAAACACAAGCACATGCCCACATCAGCGGGCGCATCCATGCTAGGCCAGGACAGGGTGCCTTTTTGCCCCGCAGCGTCCCCATGCCCAGCATCCAGAGGAGCACACCCTGAAGCAATCTGGCCCCTGGATGGGGATAAAGCTTTGCTCAGTCCAGGATGCTGCTGGGAATGTTAACTTGTGTTTCAAAGGCACCTGCTCTGCCCCTCTGAAGGGCCGTATCTCCTCAGAGAGACCACCACCTCCTCAGCCCTGCCAGCCCCTGAGGCTCCGCAGCCTGGCCGGGTTTGCCCCACTGGCTTGTGGCCGTTGCCGAGCTTTGGTAAGAGAAACCTCATTTCGAGTGGGGTTTTTTAGGGGCTCGGTATAAAACTGAACATGACTGCTGAGGATTCTTTGAACCTCTCCAGGGGAGATGGGATAATGCAATTACCCACTTTGATTAGAAGTCACTGGACAGGAAAAAAAAAACAACAAGAACTTCCAAAGATCAGTGACTAAACACAAAGCTCTGGCCCAGCCCCAGGGAGAGAATGAGATTCCCAAAATCCAGCCACTTTTGCATTTAGGGTTTTGCAAGTGGGGAGGGGGCTGGCAGGGGAATAGGCTAGATAAGCCATTTAGGCTGAGCAACCTCCTGCTGTGGGACTTTTGGGGTGTCCCATAATTGGTCTACCAGGGGTGCACCCACATCAGGTACCCAGTGTGCTGGTCCCATACACAGGGTGCTGTGCACAGCCACGGGGACAGACCCTCTGCGCCTGCTCAGCAGCAGAAAAGCCCTGCATCCTGCACCTCCTGCACCTCACACGTCTGAGGAAGAGGAATTTAATTAATCCTCTCATTATTTTGCCAGTCTCTCTGCAGAGGGAGCACAGGGCAGGCACCCCGATGCAAAGCCCTGCCTCCGGTCCACGCCGAGCCTCCAGGTGACATTTCCAGCACTGCATGATGTATTAACTTTGGCAGCCAGAGCCAGCAGGCAGGAAAAGCTGCTGGCCCTGACCTGCAATCGAATGATAAAAGACCTGAAAAAACAATTCCTCAAAGCCATTTTAAAGTCACCGCTGGGGTTGGGAGATACAGATGACTCAGAAAACAATGGGAGAACACAGCTCTGCCCTCCCCAGTGCACAGACGAGGCAAGCTGTGCAAGCCCACCCACTCCGGGGCTGAAGCCATGGTGATGGGCTGGAGAAAGCAGAGCTCAGGCTCCCATCATGGCTACAGCCAGCCTCAAAATCCCCAGCACATACCCATATGCTGCTTGCAGGACTTATTCCTCACAGAGAAGGGTCTCAGCAGAGTCCATCACCAAAAAGCCCCCTGGGGTGGGTTTCCAAGTCCCATCTCTCATATTCCCCTTCCCCTTTGTTACAAGCAGAGGTGAAACTGCATCCAAGAGCCCCCTCCCTGTGCCTTGCTAAGACACCAGACCAGTACTGCAATCACAGAAGCGTGTCTGGTACCTAACAGTAAAGAAATGTCTTGATTTAGACGTGAAAAGGTGAGCTCCAGGCTGGTTACCTTGGAGTAATTAACCCAGCACATTCTGAAGCTCTATATGTGATTTTTCCAGGAGCCATGGGCTGAGCTGGATGCTCTCCATAGCACCTGGAGCAACTGCACAGCACCTTGTGGAGTTGCAGCCTGATTTATTGGTCCTAACGATCATTGATTATAAACAAAAAGTTGCATTTCCGAGCTGCTGGAGCCATGGGGTTTCTATTCTGGGCCACCCCAAGTGCTAATTAAAGTGGGCTTGGAAGAGACAACAACCCTGAAAAATATCTCAGGGTTAGAGAGACTATTTTTAACCTGGGTTTTGGGTGAGTAACAGCCCCAGGACAGCAACGCAGACAGGCCAGGATGTTTCAGCAAAGATGCTACCCAGCCCCAGTATATGTTTCAGGGACAGAATCAATGCAGAGCTCCTCAGAGAGACTTCTGCAATCCCTGGCTGCATGCAAGGGATTCTGCCCAGGCTCGCCCTGAGCCTGGCAGAGGGGAGTGCCATGGGGAAAGCTGTTTTGCCTCTGCCACGCTGAAACCAAAGCCCCCTTGTGCTGACGGCTCATGGCAAAACTCCAGCAAGAACCGACGGGAGCAAAGAAGTCAAATTCTGAGAAGGACTGACCGGCCAGATTTCTTAAACCTTTGCACAAATCCAGGCCTTTATCCTGATGCTGAGGCAAGAGCCAAGCTCCTTTGCAAGTCCAAGCCATGTGCTTAGAGAGCTATTGCACATTCTGCCCAACCAGAGCTCGTTAGTGCAATCACTCCAACGAGTGCAGACGCTCTTTGGGATACATCTCCCATGCAACGAAGCACAGCTCTAACCAATAAAACACTAATGAACTCATGCCCACTGGGGCTCTAATGAAACACTAACTGTAATTTAATAACAAATTAGCAAGGAAGAGGATTCAATAAAATGGCAATTCAGCCAAACTGCAGCTTGCATCCCTGGGCTGTGCAGGGCAGGCACACTGAGTCCCACAGGACAGGAGATGTATTGCTGATTTTTGCAGACTTTCAAATTTGAGTTTGGGCAAATAGGTGCAAGAAGGGAGGAAAAGCACCCAGGAGAGAGGGGCAGCAGACCAAACCGAGAGGGAGCACGTACTGTTCTGCAGAGCCCGGCACACCTTTCGCGTGCTGCTACCCCCCCGCTTACAGCCACAGCGTGCAATTTGCTCTGCCTTGTTCACGAGGCTAATTCAGCAAACCAGAGGGATTTCACCCCAAGCAGTAGCTCTGGCTATGGTCAAAGGAAGCATTAGGTTTGCACAGTTTCTCTAAGTGAGATTTGAGCCACAGAGACTGTAAGGGATAAACCCAAAACTGTACAGGGCAGAATCTGTACTCAGACCTGCCGGCTCGTGGTGCAGCAGTTCACATTAGCAGTGATAGCAGCTGCCACGACCAGCCCCGCTCAGTGTCCTGCCGTGCTGGGATGCTGCTTGCTGGCTATGGCAGGAGAAAGGCGCATCTAGCCACAAGTCCTTGCACAGGCCAGCAAGCCCCTGCAGCTCCCGGGAAGGCAGTGGCTGATGGTCACAGTCAGCAGGTGAGACACGAGCCCAGGAGCCGTACTTGGGGCTGGGCTGGGTGCCCTGCGTGCATCATAGCTCTTCCCAGCACCAGAGGGGTAGCTGGTACTATGCTACCTCCTTGGACTTCTCCAAAGCAATGGCAAATCCTTTCCATTAGCAGACTACAGATGCCAGCATGGGCTTTTTGTTCCTGAAGACTGCTGGATGTCTCAGATGGTCTCACCGACTTGCTGCACGTCAACAGGACCTGCCTTTGCTAACACCTGCCCTGCAAGCCTGTTTACTAATGGGGCAATGGGAAACCTCTCTCTGTATGACTGATCAGGACCTCCCTGGCTTGGAGTTATTCTTGACCATAGCTCTGTCTGCCCTGGGCACAGAGATCTGCCAGGTCTGCCCACATTTGTCAACATCCCTCCTTCTGCTGTGAAATGGAGAGAGAAAGCTTAAGAGGGATGCAAAGCATTAGGGTTTTAGTTTTCCCTGTTGCTGGGAATGGCAGGGTTGAAAAAGCCACTGAAGGGACTCCGAGACCATCTGCACAGCCACATCCAAAACCAGCGGGCACCAGCTGACCCGGAGGAGAAGAAAACCCGCATGCTTCCAGGGAGGTTGGACCAATGCCATGCAACCCTTGCTGGGAATACACCCTGCATCCACAAAGGTCCGCTAAAAATCACACCACCACTGCTAACAAGCTTCTCACCGAGCCAATACAAAACTGCGCGTGCGGCCAAGCAAAAGTGGGGTTTCTCAAAGCTGCCAGCGTGGGAGCCGCTCTGCTGCCAGGAGGGGATGGGGAGGCTCAGGAGGAGCTTTGCTACGTGTTGCAAAGGACCAACAGGAGCACCTGGGTGCAGGGAGCCGGGTGACAGCAATTCACCCCATGCTCTCTGGATATGGCATTCTGATTTTAGGTGACTCTTT